TTTTGTGTATATATTGTTATTTTTCGCAATTATCCACAGCATAAATTACATTGACAAAATTGTTAAAGGTATTTTTCGAAGCAGACGCCACGTCGCAATTTTAAAATTTTACCATTATTTGTTTTTGGTTACATGTTATTATTTTATTTCATATTTCATTTATTTACTGTCAGTGTTTAATTCATTTTTTGTCTATTATTTCCCGCAAATATTTTGACTTTTAAAAGTCGGAAGAAAAGGATAATGATTAAATATTTAAATTTTCCGCGTAACAGACGTCTAATTATAATATAATTACTTATTATATGCATCTATGGTGCATCTTGTCTTAAATAGAAACCACGTCATTTTAAAAGTAACAATTTTACAAATTCACTTGCTTTTTTTCTGAGTGTTTGTATTATATTTTATTATTTAACTTCATACAATAGTTATTTCGTTATTTCTCTATTTTTACAGATTGAAGATAAACAAGTGAGGTGATTGAAGTTCGTTTTGATGCTACTGAAAACACAAGTCGTCTCCCTCCTATGGCATTTTATCTGTTAACTTTTCTTCTTGGAGGCTCTTTTAGTTAATTAATTAAGGTGAGTGTACGTACGATACTATATATGCTATATATTTATTTGATATTAACAGAGAAAAGGGTTCGACATTACTTTAACAATGTATTATGCACGTTATTTACGAAGGAGGCTAAATTAATTATATCCGAATACTGTTTCATAAGGCTTTATTTTACAGAAACATTGAAATAATTCGAGATGCCGTTCAATTATGGAGCTTTGATTGTGTCAGTCCTTCATCTCTTCCGAAAGTAGCTGTACCTATGGTCCTAAAGAAAGCATGAAAATGCGATCATTTCATCGGGAATGGAGACAGTGTGCTGTTGCTGAAGAAAGGATTTGTGGCAATGAACTGGTATGTAACAGTATCAATTAAAAAAAGTAAATGAGGCCCCAGAAACTATAATTTCTTATACGTTTGCTTTGTTAGGCAACTTTTAAACAACATTTTTGATATGGCAGATGCAGAACAGCAGAATTAATGTGGAATTGATCTTTTCATCAGTGTGAATGTCACTGATTTACTTGCTTTTAAAGTGGTAATTAATTACTTTTTCTTGCCCGTTTCTGTAGATTGCCCATTAAATGAGAAGGAATTGCAGTGAATTTTGGTGCTACTGAAACAACCGATTGTTTTGATGTCTTCACCTTGCAACATTCTGCAGTTAATGAGAATAGAATGCAATTGGAAATTGTTTGGAAGCCACTGAAACGACAAATTGTCAGCTGTGATATCTCTTCTAGATTTGGTTTGCTCTTCATACTGGTAAATTTTAGAACACTACTTTCTACAGTTAATTAAGGTAAGAATATATTACATATTTAATATTAATTGCTCTATTGATCTAATAGCGTTTCTTTTAACAATTATCTATTGTGCGTAATTTAAATGGACGTTTTAAATATCTATCGTCTACAGCATCTATGGTATTTGGTTTAGCATTTATCTATTGTTTACAGCTTTAAATTGACTATCGTGCCCCTATGGTTTTTTAAATATCTATTGTCTGCATTATCTGTCTATGATTATTTCACTTTTGTCTGTCGGATATGGTCTGTCATTATGTAAACTTACGCTTGTCTCCATTTTATAATTCGTCTATTTTACTTGCTTTCTAGTGCGTTTTTAGGTCTGTTCAATCTCATTCTAAATTAATAGTGTAATTAATATTTTTTTTATGCATTTCTACAGATCGTTCAAGAAATGAGATGGAATTAAAGTTCAGTTTGATAATACTGAAACAACCAGTGTACATGGGTGTGGTCTTTCATGAACTATCTTCATGATGTGCTGTTTTCGTCTTCGCCTTGCAACATTGTGCAGTTAATTTTCAACCGATGGGTGAGAAAAACTGGATAATTCCACTCGAATAACAAATTTTCTGCAGTGGTATTCCTCCTGGATTGGGATTGTTTTTCACACCTGCAATTTTTGTAACGTTGCAGTCTATAATTAATTAAGGTGAGAATACTTGATATAATCAATTTTAATTACTCTTTATTAATCTGTTACCACCGTATCTGTTTCAGGTCGACGTTGGAGAAGACAAAGATGACCCCGTAGTAGAAATAGTTCTTTATCTTGCATGCTCTATCTAGTAGAATTCATTAAGTTGATTTTATTCAAATTAATTTTTCATTTTGCATGTTTTTTTTGTAGTTAATTTGAATTATTTTGCATGCTTATTTTTGTTCATTTTATTTGAAGTAATT